CCACTGTGATATAAAAAGCTGCATGGTACTATTTTGATCTTTCAAAATTTGTTCATGCTTGATTTGCGTTTGATGTGGGAATGATTGATCTTGGAGTATGTTCCATGTGTTGATGAGCAGACTGTATACTCTGTAGTCACTGGATGAGGTGTTCTGTAGATGTCTATCAAATTCATTTGATCAAGGGTCAAGTTAAGGTTTCAGATTTTCTTGTTGATTTATTGCATCAATGATCTATCTAGAGCTGTTAGTGGGTATTATTAGATCTTCATCTATGATTGTGTGAGAACAAATGTTTACTTAGTTGTGTGATAAAACTCAGTTCTCCTGTGTTGGGTGCATATATATTTAAGATAAATGTTTCTTCCTGACAGTTTGAGCCTTTTATCACTATGTAGTGTCCTTCCATGTCCTTTTTAACTTTTGATAATTTCAAATCTCTTTTTTAACATCAGAACAGCTGTCCTTGCTTTTTTCTGTTTTCCTTTTGCCTAAAAGACCATTTTGTAGCCCTCAAATTTGAGCCTATGAAGATCCATTGCAGTGAGATTAGCTTCCTGAAAGCAGTAGACAGTTTCATCATGCTTCTTTATCCTGGATGCCACCCCATATCTCTCTAGTGGCTCATTTAGTCTATTCTCATTCAAATTAATTATTGAAATGTGAGAGCTTATCCTTGTCATAGGGCTCTTGGGGGTTGCTTTTGTATTCATGTATGTGCGTATTTTCATTTTTGTGCGTGCTCTGTATGCTCTGTTGACTCTGTGCTTGCCTGTACTTGCCTGTGATTGGTATGACCATTACTTTTTATTTTCTTTCTTTCTTTTCTTTTCTTTTTTTTTTTACTATGTTCAACATCTTCTTAAGTGTCTCCTGAAGAGATGGTCTGAGGTGGCATATTCTCTTAGTGTTTGGATGTACGACAATGATTTTAGTTCTTCATCCTTGATGATGCTTAGCTTGGTGGAGTAGGAAATTACTGGCTGGAATTACTTATCTTCAAGAGCATTAAAGATTGGACACCAGTCTCTTCCAGCTTGTAGTATTTCTGTAGATAAGTCTGGAACAATTCTGATGATTCTTCCCCACTAGTTAGTCTGACTTTTCTCTCTTGCAGTCTTTAGGACTTTCTTCTTTCATGCTTACTTTGTGGAGGCAGATTACTATGTGTCTTGGGGATGGTCTTCTCATGTGATACATTGCAGAGAAGAAAGAGAAGCCTGCATATCTTGTGCTTGAATGGTCACCTCTCTAGCACAATGTGGGAAATTTTTTTGGATAACCTCATGGAATACTTGCTCCATGATGTTCTCAGTTTCCCTTTCTACTTCAGGAATATCAGTCAGACATAGGTTTGTCTTCTTTTTGAGTTTTTCTCCTATGTTTTTGACAGACAGGGTTAATCCATATTTTGCAATTCAAACTCTGAGATTCTTTCTTCTGCCTGGTTATACTACCTCTTATGTTTGTTGTTGTGTTTTTGATGTCCAGGATAAGTTTTTCATTTCCTTTATTTCAGAATGAGTTATTCTGATTTTGGCTGACTTTGTTTTTACTTCCTGTATGGCTTTGGTGAGTTTTGCTTCTAGTTTCTCTTGGTTCTTTCTATTTATTTTAGCTATTCAATCTTTAATTTCTCTGACTGTCATCTGGTCAGGTCTTTTGGGGGAATTTCCATTGTTTGTGCTCTGATATCTCTTTACAGGCAATCTGAGGATTGCCTATATTTTTTCATTGGTTAGCTTCATTTGTAACAGACCTCTCTTTTCTCTTTCTAATTCCTTTCTCTTTTTATTCCGTTCGATATAGGTCACTCAGTGAGAGAGGGAGGACACTTACTTCTGTTTCTTGCTCCACACTGTAGTGAGTTTCTCACAGCCCCTGCTGGCAGCACTCTGTGGAGAGTGGGGATGGATGGGACCCCCCAACCACTGTTTGTGGTTTGTAGCCCAGAAGCCTTCCCACCAAAAAAAATTCAGGAGTCTTTTGTGTCACTCCCTCCCTGCTGAAGTCCACACTCTGCTCTTGAAAACAGTGATTTCCCTATCACTATCACGGTGAAGGGGATCCACCTTGTAGGCGATTCTTCCTAAACTGTCTGGGAAGATGGGCCAGATACTAGCAATGTTCACTCTGCAGGTGGGCCTTCTCTGTCTGGAAGCCAGCTGCCAGATTCCACTGCCAGAAACTGCACTCATGGCTGCTGTTCCAGTATGGAATTTTTTTTTTTTCTCATTCCACTTAGGGTCTGGGCCTGCCACTGTATCCTGACCAGGACTCCTCTCATGTGAGACCATCAACTCACGCACAGCTGGAAGGCAGTGAACAAACCCAAAACATCTTAGGTACACTTGGTCACTGTCATCCACTGGGCAGGGCTTCATTTTCTGTGTGCACCTGGTATACAGCAGGGGATGGGAATGCCCAGATTCTCATATCTACCATTGTTTTCTGATCTCTGTGCATTCAAAGAGACCATTGCTGGGTACAGGGTGCTTCACCCATCCAACAGTGTTCAGGATGTCTCTGTAAATTGACAGCATGGTCCCTACTCCCTGCCTTGATCAGTGAGAGCAGCACCAGTCTGCTGCTCCTTTGTGGCCATTGTGGATCTGCATCAGTCAGACTGCTTTCTGACCCTTGTTGGGAGCTCAATGCAAAGACTAGGTGGGAAGATGGACTTTCTGGCAGCTGTTCACCATTCACACCCCAGAATTTATCCTTTTTCCTTAAAGTGGTACCTCCAGTTGCCTTTTATATCTCCCCCTCTCCAGTCCAACTCCTCACTCAGTATTCAAAAGACAGCAGTTTCTCTGTCATGGAGGGACCCGACCTTTGGGTGCATGAGGTTGACAAGAAAACCTTCCTCGTCAGGAGGGGAAAAGGTTGGTCACCAGATGCTGGTGGCAGGCACTGAGTAAATGCAATAGGGAGGTGAGCTTTCCTGGCCTGGGTACTGGCTGCCAGGCACTGCTTGTGGGCAGCATGCACTGAGAGAGCTGACTGGCACAGGCACTGAGAGCAGAGGTACTTTCTCAGCTCTGTGTGGAGGTGTACTGGGGGTTGACTGCTGCCAGCACTGAGAGCACAGGGTATTCCTAGCTCCACAGGTGTCATGCCCTTGTTGATAAACTGGCACAAGTGCTTAAAGCATGAGTGAGTTCCCAGATCTGCATAAATTCTGGCTGCACACCACTGTGGCCCAACCAGGACTCCTTCTGCATGAGACTAATGATCCATGCATGACTGGGTAGTGGAAAACTGACCCAGATTATTTCAAGAGCACTCACACCCTCTCACAAACATGGTAGTGCTGTAGGCCCTATGCAGGCCTGGTATGCAGGAAGAATAGGGTGCCCAAGTTTCATGTCAGTCATCCAGTTTCTCTTCTCCTTGATTTCAGTGTCTTCAAAGAGACCTCTGTGGGATCTGGGTGCCTCCCCCATCAAAAGTTGTTCAAGCAACCTGAGTTTACTGGTCTATCTTCTGTGTTCCACTTGGTGACAGAGGTGTAAGTCGACTATTCCCCAGTGGCCATCTTGGATCTTCCTCTGCTCAATGTATCCATAATAAACTAATTTTAAATTTATACAGAAACACATACACACACAAGTATACACAATAGTTGGAAGTCACTAGATGGCTAAATGAACACCTTGACCTCACTGACTATACTCACCCAATAGTGAATGCATATATCATAGTGTTATTTTAAATTTGTAACAACTCAATCAGTAAAATATTATGGTTCCATTTTATTCATATATGAAATCAAATACTAAACTTTGAGTGTTCACAAGTCTCATTTCCTTTATTAACCATCTCAATAATCTAATTCTTAAACCCCAAAGACTCACATACCCTGAATGAAACCTTCTCTCCTCTTGGCCTCCTTTCCACACCTTCCTTTGCCTTCACTTTGCACATGACCCTTTATATAATGACCTATTGATTTCTTTTCAAAATCCTACTCCAAACTCATCTCCTCATTAAATTACTTCTTCTCTGATTGACTTTTCTTAAATGCTAACTTCTCCTTTTTTTTTTTTTTTAGCCTATTTTAAGATTCAGATACACTTGCTTTTACATGGCATTTTTATCTTTGAAAAAAAACAGACTGATATTTATCTGTATTTATCCATCTATCTACATGATAGATTCTGGGGATTAAGTGACTAGGTAGGTTTAAAAAAATGAAACATGGTAGGTTGAAAATAATTAAATTTGTTGCTCTTTTCTGTGATAGTATTTTATATCCCATCTTGCTGAACTGGAAATGAAATTGTGAACTCCTGTGATAGGTGTCACTTTCAGGCAGACATTTTAAAAGTTAGCTTGTGATTGCCCATGTTCCCTCTCCCACAAGGTTAACCAAATAAAGGCTAAATCCAATATCAAACAGATATTGAAGTGAAGACAACTGGCAGTTATAGTAGAGATTTTAAACTTCTTATAGTTTTGTTTTCATTGCCAAGCTAGCCATTCCAAACAGATACAAGTAAGGAAGAACAAAGTTAGCAAAGTCTTCAACATCTCAAGAAATGTGAACTGTAACCAGGTAAGTAAAATTCACTTAAATAATGATTCTTTATTGATGTTAAAATTGTGATAAAAAGGCAAAAAATAAAGCACAGAGAGGAAATGAAAGCAAATTTTACAGAGAAATGCAGAAAAAGGAAAAACATATTTCACTCAGAAATGCTAATTAATTAATTGAGATTCATGCTAACTAATGACAATTAAATATAGGCAACGAAAACTTCAGTTTCCCATTGTTATATAATGAATAGTGAATTGCACACAAATCTATTTGTTTGAAGGAAGAGACAGTAGTTTTTCTTTAAGACTTTTCAAGCATGCTTGATTCTCAAAATTATTTAGAGATAAATGATTTCTCCAGTACAATCACGCTCTACCTCCCTGGACAAATATTGAGATTTTAAAAACGTGTTTTTCAGAAAGTTATTAGCTTTTTTTTTTTTTTCCTTTTCTGTTTTCAGAGCATTTTTTGGATGGGGGAAATACAAAAGTGACAAGAAACACGACTATCTCTGTGACAATGAATTACATAAAAAGAAGAGGTAAAGTCCTTAACTCTCAGATCCCTTAAGAACTGTATATCAAATTCTGACCCTTTCCACTGAAAACAGAAAGCAGAAGAAAATGCATAGGTGAGGTGAGGTGAGAGTCCAACATGAATTCTAAAGGAAAGTAAAAACAGAGTCTATTCTCAGTTTATTTTAAGAGTAAAGCCCTGTTCAACTTATTATCCTCTTGAACATTGCTTAAATAAGGAAAATAGTCTAGCTATATAATTCTTTCAACATTAAGCTATTTTTCTATTTTTTTAAAAACATGGCTTAGTTCCAAAATGTATGGGAGTGTGGAGAAGTAAGAAAATGACCTTATTACCCAGAGATAACTTCTGATAACATACTGGTCAATATCCATCCCATGTTTTATTTCCTTTTTCCTTCCCACTCCATTCTTCAAAGAAAATTGTCTCTAGAACCTTTTACTATTACAGTTTTGCCTTTAACAAATGATACCATGGAAAATTTTTCATGTAAGAAAATATAGATTTCTAACATCAATGTGTATAACATAATAATACATTATATATTTCAACTATTACTTATGGATTGACTTGCCCTAAGATTAGGGAAAGGATTACTTACCTTACAAAGAGCCAGATACATTCCATCCCTGTTTTTCAAAGTGGTTGCATGAGTTTATTTAGAGGACAGTGTAGATTATGTCCTAACCTGGTATTAGAGACACACTGGGAGCTGAGTAATTATGTTGTTTATTTATTCACTTATTTTTTTCACTTAAGAAATGTCTATCTAGTGTCTTCTATTTGTCACAGGATATTCTAGATGTTAGGGATATTAAATATCAGTATTTACTTGCAATAAATAAGACAATGCCAACAAAAACTTTATGTGGTATAAGGGAGAGATAAACAGTGGCAAATATTTTGATTATGTTGATAAGAGGAGTACAAAAAAGGAAAAGCTTAAATCCATCTCAGAGAAGAGTAATACAGTAAAATGGAAAAAAGCAATGTAAAGGCCTTGAGGTAGGAGTTTCTTGAAATGGAAGCCAATAATGTCAGAGAGGAAATGAATGAGAAGAGGGTCAGGAGGTGAGGTCGGAGGTCAGACTGTCAATCTTTGTCCTTTTTCTTGATTAAGAAATAATTCACTACAGAATTTTGAGCTAAGGAGTGAACTTATCTGGCTTATGTTTACAAAGGATCACTGATTAAAGTGCTGAGAATAGACTGAATGGAGCAGAATGCCAATTTGGGGGATTATTTCAATAATTCATACCTGACAATATGGTGCTTAAACCAGTTGAAAAAGATGATCTGGCAGAATTTGATGACGGATCACTGAATAAAGTGTAGAAGGCAAGGATCATTGTAAGATTTCTGATGTGAACATCTGAAAAGCAGGACTTCCAGTAACTACTTTCAAAAAGACAATAGGAGGATAATATTCTGGTTAAAGATAAGAAATTAAGATTAGGAATATTTGCAATTTGAAATAGGGTTCAGGCTAGGACAATTGTGATATTCATCAAAAGATGGATGGGATTTAATACCATGAGATAGAATGAGATTCCCAAAGAAAAAATGTTGATAGAAAAAGTTGAATTTTCAGTTTTGTGTCTTTGGCAGCTGTGGGAACGAGCAGAAACTGGATGACAATAAAAACAATGGCTAGAGAGAGAAGCAGAAAATGAGAAACTTTGCTGTCCTGAAAGCCAAATAAATAAAATTTTGCAAACAGGAAGAAATTATGAACAGTGTCTAATTCTGTTGATAGATTTTAAAAGATGGCAACTGAGAATAGATAATAATATATAGTACTATAAAGACATTAACTAAACAAACATGAATTGAGTACCCAATAAATACCAAGCATCTATTATTACTATGGAAGATTTAGGCGTAAATAATATCTGGTTCCTACTTTCAAAAATATTAAAATTGGGAACTGAATATAGATACTCAAAGAAAAAAAAATATTATATATACAGAGGGTAAAATGTTACAGAAAATAGTGGAAAGTGAAAGACAACCTCAGAAAGGGCACATAATTCCAACCAGTTTGATTAGAAAAGGCTATATTTTAAAAATTGAATTATTATTTATAATATGAATAAGATTAGAGAAAATATGAGTTCAGTTACAAGGATCAGTGTAAGCAAATGCACAGAAGATTAAAACACATGACATATTCGTAGAACAGATGCACAGAAACTATATACATCATCTCCTTCTTTATTCTTGATTCATTCTCAATCCATTCTTCATTCTTGTCACAAGCTACCTTTGTGTTAATGGCAATAAAGCAGGCTCTGAACCAAGAAGACATTTATATAGTCACAGTCATTTTGTAAATTAATAACAACCTTATCAGTAAATGACGTATACATGGTGTGACTTTAGCAAAATCATGAAGAGAACCCATCCAACCCAATAATTGGGGTTTTTCATAATATGTCTTTGGAATTTATTGCAATAATTTTTCAATTTCCACAAATTTTTTAACCTGGGGTATGAGAACCTCAGACTTCAAAAAACCTTACAATCTAAAAGCAGTATGCAAATCAAACATAGCCAAAGCATAGAAACGTCTATCTGAATTAGATTTTCCATGAGGCTTTGCAAAAGAAATTCTCTCCTTCTCTCCTTCAGAGACTGGCCTTGCAAGACAGCTCAAAGAAGACCGCTGTCTTTTTCATTCTGTTATTTTCTAGTGTTTCCATATCTTTCTCCAGATGAGAAGATTGTACTTAATCTTCTCCCTGTGGTGAAGATACCACACCTGGGTGGTACCAAGAGGGATCCCACCTGAAGGAAGGCCCTGCTACTGAGAGGCTAAAACCCTGCAAATAATTTATTTGGCCATTGGATGTCATCAGTGTACTACAGTGCACCTGCTGAAGGAGTTCTGTGGAAGGGAACATTAGAGTTAAAAGCAGCATTTTGTTTATTGCTTTGATGGCATATTTGCATATCTCTCAGTTAAATGGTGTGGAAATAGTAACAAATTTCATTTTTATTAAGCAGTGTTTTAAGATATGTACTAGTAGCATTTTTTTTTTAAAGGAAGCTACGTACCATGAGACAGAAAATGGGATTTGACAGACCTAGTCTTGAAATTAAGCCAGTTGCTAATGCAAACAGACCAAATAATCAAATGATGCAATCAGGGCATTTATTATTTTATTTTTGATGATTGAATTGACTTGAGATATGTGATGATTTTTTTTTTTTCTACCACTTTCTGGAATCTGATTCTTAATGTTGAATAAATACAGGTACAACTCAAATACTTTCTCCTTCTTCTTCTCCTTCTTCTTCCTCTTCCTCTTCTTCTTCTCCTTCTCCTTCTCCTCCTCCTCCTCCTCCTCCTTCTCCTTCTTCCTCTTCTTCTTCTCCTCCTCCTTTTCCTCCTCCTCCTCTTCCTCCTCCTTCTTTACCTCCTCCTCCTTCTCCTCTTCCTCCTCGTTCCCCTTCCTCCTCCTCTTCCTCCTCCTCCTCTTCTTCCTTGTCAGGATCTATTGCCCAGACTAGAGTGCAGTGACATGATGACGGCTCACTGTAAACTTGAACTCTTGGGATGAAGCAATTCTCCCTCCTCAGGCTCCTGAGTAGCTGGGAACACAGACGTGCACCGCAAAGCCCAACTTTTTAAATTTTATTTATTCATTTTTTTTTTAGAGACAAGTTCTAATATGTGACTCAGGCTGGTCTCAAACTTCTGGCCTCAAGCAATCCTCTTGCCTCAACCTCTCAAAGTGCTGGGATTAGAAGCATGATCCACCACACCCAAAACACAGGTGTTTTTCTATTTTGTTTTTTAAATTTCATGAGAATACAGCAAAAAAGAGCAAAAAAGAAAAAAATATAAACATCTAGGATAAATGGGATATTATTTTTCAAGTAAAAAGAAAATTGATCAATTCATGGAATTTTTTAGTTATTAAAAACTATTGTTTTACAAAAATCATTGATTTACACTATATAAAATGACACTTTGAGATAGTCTACTATACAAGTATTTAAACAATATTGAAGTATTTAAGCTAAAAATTAAAAATTCCTCTGTAATCAGACACATCTGCCGTCCTATTTCTCCAACTCACATCTCCACTTTTTAGAGGAAGTCATTGGTAAAAGTTTGTGCATGCCCTTTAAGACTCTTTTTCTCTGTATTTATAGGTGTGTTTATGTAACTTTTAAATCATTGTTTAGGCATTTGAATGTAGGTTAAAATATTGCCACAGAATAAAGTTACAGTAATGTCAGGTAGAACAATTAATAGATAAACAATTTTAGGTTTACCCTCACATGTCCTGGTTACAAAGGGTTGGAAGATTTAGAGTGTTAGTAGACTTTATTTTATGTAATCACACACAAGCCATCTCTGTAAGTCTCTCTAGGTCTTTATAGGTTCCAGGGAGATATATAAATACAAGAGACCCAATTTAACAACGAACCACAGTTGGCCAAGAGAGTTTATTTTGTCTTCATTAGGGAGTGCTAGCACTTTAACAAGCTAACAAATTTTAATTTCTTCTCCTCGCTTTTATTGTTACCAGATTTTAAAAAATATTATTATATCTTTGTTGAACTAACAGGCTTTAATGTGGACTAACTGTCTCTGATCTGGTTTTGTTCAGTAAATAAACCATTAGTTTACAAACAGGAGCTCAATAGGGATAGATGTTAAACAATCATGCTTTGCTTTGAGTGGTATTCATTTCAAGAGATTAACAATATAGCGTGCTATTTTTTGGTTAGGGAAAAATACTAACATAAATGCAGAAAATTTTCTGAGTGAATATGCTAGAAAGAATGAGAAATAACATTTTAAAATTATTTTTCTCATAGTATTGACATGAATAGAATATATTAATTATACATTTTTAACATTTAGCTTTGTTCAGGTAGAGATTGTTACTCTGCTCCTTTTATTTCTGGACTTCTCGTACAAAGAAAAAAAATGACAAAAGTATTGAAAAGGAAGCCCAAGAGGAAAGATGAAAGGAATTGAGTTTATTC